AAAAAAAAAAAAAAAGAAAGAAAGAAAAAGAAATGGACAAGAAGCCTGCAGAGAAGCAGAGCCCAGCTGCTGGGCTCTTGAGCTGGAGGACACACCGAGTGTGGCTAGGGTCAGTAGGGCCACGCATGCTACTGTGCCGTTTCCCCATGCTAACTGGGGCTAGCTGGGTAGCTTCTCCCCTTGAGATATAGGACAGATGCAGACTTTCTGAGAGTGTGTGGTCAAATCTGCAGACAGGGCACCACTGCAGGTCGTGGGGCTGTGTGAAGGAGGCTGTCTACCCACCCTAAAGGTCCTACACCACCATGGCCAAGGCAGGGACTGCGAGGGCTAACTGGGGGTGCAGAGCACTCTCCCCAAGGCATACCTTGCCCCTAATTTCTGAAGTGCACAGAGAGGGGGTTCTCTGAGCTTCCTGAGCCAAGGACTTTCTGACACCTATGCTGAAATGCCATGACCCTAGTACAGAGACCTGACCGTAGCCCCTTTCTAGAAACAAGGCTTCCAGGCTGTAAGCCCAGGCTCTGGGCGGGGCTTACAGCAATATGGGAAGGTGTGTGTGCGCGTGTCTACGTAGGGTCTCAGGTGCCGTGCAGCAGAACTGAAGTGATAAGTCAGCCTGCAGAGAATAGGCCCACCAAAGGGACAAGGGACCCTGTATTCCCTATCTGCTCCCAGAGGGCGGGCACAGGATCAGCTGGTGCGGGGGTAGTGGTCACGTTAGAGAAGGGTGCTCACCAGCAGCAGGGCTTTCATGTAGGCTGAAGATGGCCCAGGAGACTGCCTCGCACTTTGCCATGCCAATAAGCCTGGCACAGTGAGGGGCGGGCTGCGGGGCATCCGCACATGGGCTCTCGCACCCACCCTCTCCTTTTCCCACTTGTACATGCCCACAGACCTAGGAAACTCAAACCTGCAGCTTGGGTGTGATGGCTGCCCACCCCACCTCACTCGTCAGGGAGCTGGCAGACCTGTCCTCGCATCTCGCCCAACTCCCACAAAGCTTCTCTCTGGAGAGGACACCTCTCTGCCCTCTGCATCTCTCCCTGTCTGACATCTACTCAGATACTCCCCACCAATTGTGCCAAACCAGAAACTGCTACCCCGAATGAGGCACTACCCCCAGTCCTCAAGGGCGGCCGATCGGGGACTCTTCCTGTGCCTCTACGCTCGTACTTACCCTGTCTCCTCTCATAACACCCTGAGCTCAGGCTACAGGTGTGGATACTCATGTAGGAAAGAGCCCCGTGCTGTAGGAGGTGGCCCTCACCTCTGCCTATCTCCCCAGTGTGTGCATGGGCGTTGTCCTCCAATCACAAGCCCTCGGGTCCCAGAGAAGCCCAGGCACATGCCCACTGGAACCACCTTAGACACGGCCAGCTAGCTGCTCAGGGACCTGCAAAACAGAAGGGTGGGAGACATCTACTTCTTTTTCCCAGGGCAGAGATTTTATTTGGATTATCAGAACTGCTCTACCCACTGAGGCCCGTGTCCATGTGTATCTGCCTGTGGCTGTCACAGACCAAACCAGTCTGAGACACCGCCTCGTCGGATGTCTTTGCTCTTCCTTTGATTCACATCATCCAGGATGTCGCCCTCCTCGCTCTGCTCCTTATCGGTCTCGGGAAACAGGTCTGGAAAAGTGAAGGTCTGACCGTGGGCCTGGGGAGGAAACAACTTAGATCACTGCTCTGGTCTTCAGGCCCTTCTCAATTGCTCAAGGATCCTGACCCTAGACCCCCACAGTGGGAGGGATGAGCTGCCATTGTCTTGGTGCAGGGCCCTGCCGGGAAAATAAACATCTCTGTGCCATAATGCCTCCGCTCTTATCTAGCGGCGGGAAGCCATTACCCCGAGACAATGCTTCTTTTCATGGACATTATCTTTTTACAGTGGTGTCTCTCCAGCCCCCAGCTCATTAAAAGTAGCCCAGCAAAGGCCCATTCACCAGGGCGGCAGCCTAGTTGAATTGATGGGCAGGAACTAGGCATAGAAAAACAGGACATAAGTGACGTCTGGTGCCACGCTAAAGCTTTTTCCATCCAAAATACCTAAAGGCCTTCACCCACATTAAAGGCCAGCCTTCCTCCCAGCTCAGAGCTTGGCAAATAAAACACATGTAACGCACACAGAAACCTACATATGCAGCAGTCTATAAATCAAGTCCGGCTTTGCAAATTAACTGGTTTTACGTCTTTCAGTAGAAGTTCGGAATGTTCCAGCATGGCCAAGTCCCGGCCCAGGTCCCCAAGCACGTGGGTCAGGCCCCAGTCAGGCCCTTGGTGGGAGGGGCACTGTGCTGTGGGGCCTAAGCAGAGCTGAGGGGCTGCACTACTTTGCTGACTAGGCGAAAGAGCTCCCCAATGAGGGGCGAGAGGCAGGGGAGCTGGAGGGAGGCCACCACCTGGCCGCCCTGCTAGCACAGTTAAAAAGAGTACTAAAGACTGAACCGAATCTGCAGCACTCAAGTGAGCAAAGCAGTGGGGGAGCACTCGGGCTCTGGGAGACCCCCACTTCTTCCTAAGGAAATCTGGACTTCGGCAGGGAGCCAAATTTGATCTGACACAGGACATAAGTCCCAGATCCCACCCTGAGAACTCAGAGTTTATAAGTTCTGGTCACAGAGCAGGGGCCAGATAAAAGGCCAGTAGCCAGTCTGTCAGAGATTATTTTACACATCTTAAGGCTTCTTTTTTCCTTTTGAAAAGTACTGAAGGGCAATAGTTTACACGTAGGGCTGCCTGCCCAGAAGAGGGATTTGTGTTTGATATCTTGAGGTGATTCTGCTGGTTTCTGAAGCAGGGGAAACTCAAAGTGACATTTAAAAACACAGACACAAAGATGGCCATGTATGTGGGCTTGCGAAGATATGGAAGCAGCTGTTAGGGAGACGCCCTGCTTCCCCAGGACACCAAAGGTATTTGTGGGTGCCAGATGGCTCCCTGGGGGATTTTCCTTGTTTAGAGAAATCTGTACTTTAAAGAACAAAATCCTTTCACCTTCCAAAGAGGAGAAGGAGCTATCAGTAGCAAAGAGCAAGAGAGAAAAAGGTCACACTGAGAACTAAAAAAGCCAGCCCCCCTCCAGTAATCCCGGAGCTCTTGGCCATTGTCTGGGTCAGAACTTGCCTGTCCCTTGCTGCCTGAGCATTTGTTCTGGGAGCCGTGCGCTCATGGCCCGTGCGCGCCACTCACTCAAACACGGCTCTGTGTACACACGGTCAATGCTCTTTTTGTTCTGTGGGTAACTTGCTGCTACTCCCTCGCGGACCTGGGGCCAGAGATGTTTATCAGGTTGTCAGAGGAAAAACGTGGGACCCCCACCATGGGAGCCTCGCCTTTCCACTGCCGCCAACTCACAATAAATCCCATCATTTAATTTGTGTCTCTGGCTGACCTTGCGTGTGCCGCACAATGGGTTGTTATTAGAAGCACCCACCCCCCCACCCCATGGGGCCAAAAGGAGGGTCTTGGCGGCAGATGCAGACAGTGGGGCCTCTGAGGGTCCTCAGGACCTTTGGGGGGGTGGAGACCCATTACCCAGTTTCTAGACTGTGTAAAGATTGGGGGTGCCGTTACAAATTTTAATTCTGGGACAGGAGGAGCCATGCCGACGGGGACATGCTGGCCACAGCTGCCCTTCCTGTCTCCGGCAGCCTGGATTTCAGAGAAAGAAAGACGGCGGGCGGCAGCTGCAGACATGGATCTAAGCGCTGCCGAGAGTTCAGCTTTCAGAGTGAGGTGGGGCTGGGGGAGAAGCAGGGCTCAGATGACTCAAAAGTCACTTGTAACCATAGCTGTCTCCAAAGTGACTCGTGGCGAATGCCAGCATATGGGACATCGCCCCGCAGCCATGACAGACAGATGGGCTGATTCAACACCCAGCACACACAGGTCTTTATAAGGCTGGTGGCAGCTCTCTCCACCTGGGTTTCATGGTTTTATACACAGCAAATATTAGGCCAAATGATTATGGGAGCCTGTTTAGAACACATGTATCTGTTCTTCAGAAAACTTGTCTTACTTCCTCTTTCAGGGAAACTAACTTCCAACTTGGGCCTGGGTCCTAGTCCCAGTGGGAGAAGGGTTCATAGTAGCATTACTGCCATCTAGTGGTCACGGGCCTCCGGCTTCCTAGAGGGCTGTTTGCACAAAACTGAATAATCTGAAGGAAGCCCCCTCCTTCCGCTGGTTTTAAGCCGTGGGGGGCTGGTTAATAGGCCCTGCAGGATTCCCACAGAGGCCCTTTGGTCCAAGGCCAGCTGCTGAGGTCAGAGGGGATTCTGCCTGGAGACTGAGGGCCGCCAGGCGCGGCTACTGCCTGGCGGCCCTCGGTCCTGGTCCAGAGCACTCTCAGGGAGGAGAGAAAGCCTGTCTGCACACATGGCTCGTTCCAGATCTGTGCCTCAGTCAACACGTAGTGGGGGTGCCTTCTTAGAGGCCACTGGCCAGGACACTTGAAGTAGCTTAGGTGCTGACACTATGTCTCTGAGGAAGCCAGATTGTTAAGAGATGGACAGGACCCAAGGGGGGAGGGGCTGCAAGGCTGTGCTACCAGGGCACCAGACCCCAAGCCACCCCATACCATCTCTGGCATGTAGGCTCCCAGGGGAGGTAGTGTATCCTCAGGGGCATTCACTCCCTCAAGAGGTAGGTGGCCTTGCTGCCCATCATGCCTGTAGTGGGTCTGCCTTTCATATGGAATAGCTGGATCTAAGAAGTGCTCACAGCAGTACTACTCCCTGTGCACTGTCCATATGGAGATACTATGGAGGGCCTGGTCTGCTCCAGATGTGCCCTGGGCTCTGCCCTCCTTCACAAGGCCTTGGGCCCAGCATGGTGGCAACTAATAGCTCCAACACCACAGTTGGCAGTGGGAGAGCAGGCTGCACAGGGTTCACTCACCAGCTGGACATAGGCCACCTTGTAATCTGGCTTCTTGATCCTCACATTTCTATGGTCCCTCTTGCGATTGGAGCCTGCAGGGAGATGGCAGACCTTTACTTTGGGGTCCTGGACCAGATCCCGCCCCACAAGCACAAAACTATCTCCCAGACAGGAGGAGGCATGGTGTGCCCCACATCACAGCATGCCAAAGATCCGAAGTAGCTCAGACCTACCCAGTGAGTGCTAACATGGGTCTATTTAAATAAAACAAAAGATTTTAAAACAATGAAGTGAATTTTACTGCTGAAAATGTAAATGCATTTGACAGGCACTTTCTCAGGGAGGGCAATAAAATTAAGCAGATGCACTGGCTTTGCTACTTCTGGCTGGGGATCAGCTCTGGCAGGCTCATGGCACAGGAGAGAAAATAGAAGCACCTAGAGGCTCCACTCAAGGAGTGAGGTGGAGGTTCCAGGACAAAGCACGCTGCTCAGGCTCCTCGTGGGGAGCAGCACTGCGGTGAACTGGGAGCAGCACTAAGGGCAAATCACAATGTCAGATCCATCGCCACAGTACCATGTGACCCTAGCAAGTCACTCCTACCCCCTGTGCCTCAGTCTCTCCCTGCGTTAAGTCAGATTCCATCGCCTGGCATTAAGGCTGTGACCTGGTGCTGCGGAAGCACTATCTAAGGGTGCACGGAGGCAGGTGGGTGCAGTCACTCACCATGCTGCACCCGCGTCCGCACAGCAGCCACAGGCACATTGTAAATGCGTTCGAGATAATTCCTGAGGTCCACCCTGGTCATCCTGGATGAATGAGAACGAAAAAGTCTGAACAGGGCACAGGGTGAGGGCTCCTAGGCTACAGCAGTTGAGGACATGCTGGGCCAAAAAGACACCAGCGCTGTTGGCCACTGGCTCCCACTGCTGTCCTTTCCAGACAATGAGGATTAAGGTGACAGGGACTGAGGCCCAGGCACTTGGAACACAGTTCTATCAGCATTCTCTCCCCATTGGCCCTCAAGCTCCAGGGCCCAGCTGGTTTGCATAGGGGATGTGACTGCCAGGCTTGCACAGCGCCCTGAGCTTGCAGGTCCTGCCTGTAGCTGGGTACTTGCTACATCCTTTCAGCTGGAGCGTGCCAGTCACTCTGAGCTCAGCTTCAAGTTCCCTTCAGTCTTTTGTCTGAAAACTGGACAGAACTGACCCTCAGCATCCACAAAACACGCGCTGCCACCTCAGCACTCTGACCGAGTCCTGGGCAACAGTTCTAGCTGGGGGGCTCTGCATTTCCCTAAAGGTGAAGCAGCCATCAAACCCAGCCAGCTGAGCGAGGCAAAGCACTACAGGAGCCAAGATGAGCAGTTCTGCGAATCACAGCATGCTCCCAGCCCAGCCTCCTGGGATGCCTTTCCTGGGAAGAAGACTAAGGCAAGAATTCAACAAAGACCAGAGCAAGGAAGTGAGCCCACATCTCAGGCTCTCAGTTAAGCCTCCCAGGTGGAGGCCAGCGGGAAGCCTGCCAGAGCACGCTCGCTTTCCTTCCCCTGCTCCCCTCAGCTCTGCAAACACAGGCCTCCACTGCAGCCTGCTAAGCAGAGCCAGCCCAGGCCTCCCCAGGCAAGAAAAGCCCAATTCTGGGTGCTGGGACCCACAGCCACCCGGGGTGCTCTCAGTCCAGGTTCTTTTGGGGCTTACTCCATGGGGATCCGGAACTGCACAGTGTCTTCAGGCTGGGCCGTGCCAGGCCGTACCAGCTTAATGAAGAAGTTGGTTCGAAATATGCGGAGCTGGGGGCCACCAAGCTGGTACAAGGGGTACCTGCTCAGGAGAGACTTGGTTCATGTTACAGATCAACACAGCAACTCCAAGGTAACCCACAATGTTGGCACCGGGCCTCCCAGCACTGTCCTCTCCTGACAATTAGGATCGGAGTGACAGGGACTAAGCCCCAGGCTCTAGCAGTCACTCACATCACCCATACCAGCAGGGCTGGGGTAGAGAGAACACAACTATGCACAAATACTCCCACAGCTCATTCCCAACTCAGTCTGCCCACCATGTAGCCAGCACTTTGACCCCCAAGCATCAATGTGGGGGATGGTGCCTGGTGGTCCCGATGACCTACTGAAGGGCCGAAGAACAGGCAGGACCTGTAGCAACAGAAGCTGATATTTAGGGCTGTGAGTATATATCACTGGCATAGTGCTGAGCATGCATGAAGCCCTAAACCCTAGTACTGCAAAACCAACAAGAAGCCAAGAGTATCCTCCGCAAATAGGATAACCATAGGATTCGACCTGGAGACCCCAATGCCCTACAGGACAACATGCTGAGGATAGCCACTCATGCTGCTTAGGAGAAGCGGAGCAGCTTCAGTACCACTGCAGGGCCAGAAGGGCTGCCCCACACCCTCTGGGACCAGAAGGGGCCTTGCCCCTCAAGACACAGGCTGAAGGCCTGGGGGTGCACAGGAGGGCATTTTCAACAGGCTGCTTCTGCTCACACACAAGTTGGCTGCAACACCTCCTCAATGCCAAAGAGGACAAACACTAAGAGGTCTGGGGAACAACTGCCTCTCAGTCATTAGGCTTGTTGTTCCAAGTGACAAATCAAACACAACCTCCACCCAGTGATCTGATGTGTCTCCCTAGCCCACCTGCTTGCTAGGCCTTGGAGCTGGGAGATGATATCCCCATTCAGCACCCAGAAGTTCAAGGTCTGTAGAGTCTGAGAGAGTATAAGGTCCTTGGGGTCTACAAAGGGTGAAAGCAGAGGGCTGTGCAGGGTCTCACTTGTAGCCTTACAACCAGTCTGGGGCAGTGCATGGGCCCTTATACAGGGATCCTCCAGCACTGACCTAGCTTCAAGGGAGTGCAAGCTGGGCTCAGCCACTAGTCTAGGGAACACCAGGAACCAGACAAGAGTTGCTGAGGACCAAAGCCACGACAACAGCCGTAAGACCCAGTCCACCAGGGCTTAGACAGATGGCTTGGTGGGACTGGGGTGATGAGGACTTTGACACAAGTGCCTGCGGCAAAAAAGGTGTGCCTAACTCAAGGGTGAACTGCATTTCCATGGTGACCAAATCAACACGAGTGGCTGTGCCAGTTGGCTGTGTCCCCACTGGGAAGAAGGCTGCAGACACCTAGTCAGACCCACATAGGAGGGGCAGTAGGAGAGCTACTGAAGGCAGGACAGGCCTCCCTCAACTTACCCACAGGTCCAGGCCAACTGTGGCTGCTCAAGGAACCCACATACTCTCACTGTGGCCAACTGTGACACAGCAGGTGGCAGACCAAGTTGGGGACCCACTCTTTAATGGTGGAAAAAGAAGTACAGTGACTCACAGAACCCCTAGACACCAAGCCATGAGGTGGTGCTGCACTGGGGGGGCCTGGAGGGGTAGAAGCCATCTAGTGAGGAGGACCTAGCATAGGCCTGAGGCAAGGGTCCCCACGGCCATGTGGGTTCAGTCTCACACATCTATGTTCTCTCAGACCTGTCTTCCCTGATGCTGCCCACCACACCCCATCCCAAGAGTTGCCCTGGGGTCTCCAGCTCTAGAAAGACCACTCTGTCCAGCAGCCCTTCCCTCCGCCTCACACAGAAAAGCTTCCCTGACGGCCCCTATATTTCACAAGCACCTCAGAGTGAATACATCTCCAGTGGAGCTCTTCACTGCTTTTAACAACGCAGGACCTGGCTCAGGGCTATTGGCTTGACCGTCACCCCCAGCACCCCACGGTATACCAGTAGCCAGCTCCCTGCAGGGACCTGGCTGGGGTGAACCAGGCTTGGCCTGCTCTCTCTTGCCCACCTCAGCGCACGGCCTCATTTTCCCTAGTGCAAGGGCCTTTGGGTCCTGGTCTCTCCCATAGTCTGCAAAAAAAAAACTTGCCCAGAGGTCCTCAACAACCCCCACCCTGCAGCCATCTCCCTTGCCATGTGGGGAGGGGCCCCAAAGTGCTGTTTACCGGGTCCCCTCCCCATCACTCGTGGGTTGTGATGTGTTCACGAAAGGGTGTGCTTCCTGCTCAGACTCTGGGTGGACGCGTACACGTTGGGCACGTGGGGATCAGCGCACTGGGCTCCCAAACGCCTCGGGGGCCCTATCAGCCCCTCCCTACCTCGGACCCGGCTCAGGCTGTCACATGCCCCTCCCCCCAGTCGCAACGCCAAAGCCCCGCGACGGCGAGGACCTCAGTTTACACGACCTGTCCATTGTCCTTGGGGAGTCCCCCTTCACCTCCTCCCACCCCCTGGATTCAGCCCCCGTGTTTCTGCAGGGGCCCCCACCGAGACACTACTCACAGCACATTGCGCGCCATGGCAGTCGCGCCTCAGGCTGCAGGAAGGAGCGGCGCCAGCCCCGCACGGCGCCCGTGCTGGCACAGCGCCCCCTCGCTTCCGGAGGCCGCGCCGCCCCGCGCCCCGGGCACCACGCCCCGCAACGCATCCCGCACCCGCCGGGCGCCTCGCTTCCCCACCCCCAACTCTGCATCTCCCCACGTCTCGCGCTCCTCAGCGCTGCAACAGACACAGCGCTCCCTTGGCTCAGTTCCAGCCCGCACCTTCCCGCACGCCCCGCAGAGCCTCACAGTGGTCCTGTTCTCCCCTCCCCCACCGCGGCATCGCGCTTTCTCCCACCAGGCCCACCACTGCCAGGTCGGCTCATCCCCGCCCACACCACCACTCCGCACTCTCAGCCTCGAATACTCCGCCCACGCATCTCGAACTCCAGGAGCCGTGCAATCCCCTAGACCCCTTACGCCCGCGCCTGCAATTTCCCTCTCTCGCTGTACGTGCAGCTCCCGGCCATACCCTGTTCCCCCTTCCCTCCACCCCCCTCGCCGCTCAGCGGCCCAGGCCCCCCGCTTCTCCCCTTCTCTCTCTCAACAATTCAAGGTCACAGCCTGGTCAGTACTGCCACTTTCCAGCTGCCTGGCAGTGGAGGGCTGGAAAATCATGAATGGGCTGGGTCTGGGGTCTTAGACTCCCTCCACCTGGCCCTGGTGGTTCCCCTTCTGCTCGCTAGCACCCCCAGGCCCCTTTCCCCTGGAAGCTCCTGCTGGCCAGCTCACCACCACCGCCTGCTCCCTCCCATCCCCTGCCCCCACCACAACCACACCACACCTCCTCCAAGAGGCCCCTGGTTGCTCCGGGGCTCTCTGTCGGTCCACCCTCTCCAGGCCAAGAGGACAGCCCTAGTTCAGAGGACCTCTTTGCCTTCTACTCCATCTCCTGGATTTCTGCTACTGATCAAGACCCTCCCTAGCAGGAGAGGGTGGCAAGTTCTCTCTTGCCTGTCCCCAGGCCCCCTAGGTTTCCCCCTCTTCTCAATCCCTTTATTTGCCTGTCTTTTGTCAAACTGGCTGATTTTGCTCTGCACCCCACTATACCTCTGGTGTATTTTGGAGCTGCGATGGCATCTATCGGGATGCCAAACAGGGACAGTGCGGGACCCCAGGACTGGCAAAAGGGCTCTAGTCTCCCTTGGAGCAGGGAAACCTGGCCTTCAGATAGGGACAGTGTTGGGCAAAAAAGAAGTCAGGAGCTGGCTTAGCCCGGAGGCATCATTCTAGGGGACAGTCTAGAGCCTGCTTTGTCCTTTCGCTGATGAAAATGGCAAGTTGGGCTTGGTGGTGCACTGCTGTAATACTAGCATTTGGGAGGCCGAGACAGGAAGAGCACTTGGAGTTCAAGGCCAGCATAGGCTACATAGTGAGTTCAAACAAGGCCAGCCTGGACTACATAGTGAGACCCAGCCCTCTCCCCACCAAAATAATAATAAAAAGAAACAGATTGGTCTAGGTGAAGGACTAGGTGAGGTGTCAGTTTTGGCAGTTTGGGGGCAGGATGGGAGAGGCAAGTACAGCCTGTATGCCCGATAGAAGGAAGGTGAAGGAGGGCTTGTCCCTAGAGGAGCAGATGTCCAGGGGTAGAAAGGGTCTAACCCCTTTCAGCAAGGTCTAGGGGAGGGGATATTTGATGTTGCTGGCTAGACAGGCATTTGTGCAGTGGCAGGTAGCCTGGGCAGTGCCTGAGCTGGGGGACGGGTGGTTCCAGGGCCAGGAATCCGGAGGCTTACATCTCTGTCTTCTAAAGCACTGATTTTGTTGGTAGCCGTGTTATCACCCACAGTTATGACCTATATCTAATCCACAGGTGTGGCGCAGTCAGAGCTGTGGCCCAGAGGATGCTGGTGGAATCCTTGGCCAAACCCTGATGGACACTCAGTCTTGCTTCTTCATCTATCTACCAACTGCCAACCAGGCCCTCCACGCAAGTCTTGGAGTTTCCAAGCAGAGAGCCCCAGCTTCACCCGCTGGGTATGTGGCATCTCTGAGATGCTCTCTCCCTCCTTCCAATCTGTTACAACACACAAATCTCATTATTCTTTGCTTGCCCCTTTCCTGAAGCCAGGGGCTGAGGGTGCCAGATAAAATACAGTATGCCTAATGTGATGTTCAGCTCAACAGCTCATTTTTTTCTCCCTTTTTAAAAAAATAGACTTTTAAAGGAATACTTTTAGGTTGGCAGAAAAATTGTACAGAAATAGAGTTCCCCTAGACCACCCCATGCTCCTGGTTTCCCATAGTATCGACATCTTGAGTTGATGTGTTTCACTGTTACAATTTATAAAATACTATTGATATATTACTGCCAATCGAAGTTTAGCATTTCCAGGAGGGCATAATGTCCTTGTGTACCATTCAGGATGTCATACAGAAGTGTCACTGCCTGAAGACCCCCCCTTGAGCCACCCTTTCATCCCCCTTTCCCCCAGGCCTTGGCAGCCAGGGATCTTTCACTGTCTCCACTGTGTGCCCCTGTGCCTTTTATGGAACGTCATTCCGTGGATTCTTACAGCCTGGCTTCTCTCAGCCAATATATGCGTTTCCGCTTCCTCCGTGTTTTTGTGACTCTTCAATGCACTTCCTTTTAGGGCTGAATAATATTCCTTTGTCTGGGTGTACCTTGCTTTACCCATTTATCTGTTGAAAGACCTCTTTGTTGCTTCCAGATTTTGTCATGTAGGGGCAGAAAAATGTGACCTCTTTCTTCCTACTGTAGCAAAAGACAGGCTAAGAGAGAAAAGCATGATAGAGTTAGGTCATCAATGTTTTACTTGTCCTGGGAGACTTTAGAAAGCAAGATCCAAAGTCTCGAGTTGAAGTGTCCACTCTTTGATTTTTTTTTTTTTTTTATGTTTTATTCATTATGTCTCGCTATGCAACTTCGACTCATAGTGATCCTCCTGTCTCAGCCTCCTCAGTGCTGGGATTACAGGCATGTGCCACCACACCCAGTTTCAGGGCAGGCATGGCATTCGGTACCAGGGATTGAATCTGTGTCCTCGCACTTGCCAAGCAGGTCCTTAAACCTCTGAGCTGTCTCCCCAGCCCCAAAATGTCTACTCCTATGCTTAAGTTTGGTGAAGCATGGGTAGCCACATAGATAGGTACCTGGACAGAGGGTGTAACCTGGTGGTGACGGACTGACAAGGACCCTGCAAGGCCTGTCTGCACAGATTCTTCTGGGTCCTTGCATGCCCAGCTTTCTTCCCACGTATAGGGTCGCACCTTTTCTAGAATGAAAATCTTGTAATCAGCATTCTTTATGAACAGCTCCTTTACAGAAAGGTCAAGGGAGAGGTTAAAGTCACATTTCATGCCTTTATGGTTGGCTTTGGAGGAGAGAGGCTATAGCTTCTGTGACGTGACCCACCTTGGAAGGGAAACTGTGGTCTCCACAGTCTGTTGTGGGAAGGGAAAAGGACCAGGACATAGAGAAATAGGAGGGGCTCAGAGAGAGAACATTCATATCTGAGCTCCTCCGGGATCTCAGGTCAGAGCCCTGGGCAGGGTGAAGGTAATAGAGCTGTTGGTGGTAATAGAGCTGTTGTGTACATCTGTGTCTGTGTTAGTGTGACCTCAAGCCTTCAGGCTCATCCCTGGATCACCCAGGAGCCGGCGGTTTGGGAAGGGTCCTGAGGCCAGCATTGCACAGCTCCCTGTATCCACGGAGCACACATGCCCAGAGGAAGACAGACCCAGACAAGCAAGTGGGGTACAGCAGATGCTCCTCAAGATACCAGCTCTAGGGGGGCCGGGGAGGTGGCTCAGTGGATAAGCACTTCCCTGGCAAGTGCAAGGGCCTAAGTTCAATCCCCGGTTCCAGAAAAAAAAGATACCAGCTCTAA